ATATATGTCGTACCTAGTAGCCAGAACTCACTTTTTGGCCTACTATGCAAGGCCCGATTTGCCTAATAAGCCAAGTTTTCCTGAATTATTGTATTTTCTCTATTTTTTTTCTTATGAAATGATAAAGCTACCCATTTCATTATGTATGAGGTCAATTTATTTTTATTGGAGTTAAAATTAACGTAGATATATGACCGAACCTAACCAACCCTACCTAACCTAACCTAACCTATCTTTATAGGTTAAGTTTGGTTAGGTAGCCGAAAAAGTTAGGTTAGGTTAGGTTAGGTAGGTTAGGTAGTCGAAAAACAATTAATTGATGAAAACTTGGCTTATTAGGCAAAACGGGCCTTGCATAGTAGGCTGAGAAGTGCGTTATATATATATATATATATATATATATATATATATATATATATATATATATATATATATATATATATATATATATATATATATATATATATATATATATATATATATATATATATATATATATATATATATATATATATATATATATTACTAAATATGACCGAAAAAGTAAGATTAATAATTCTAACACGAATTTTCTCAATCTTTCGTACATTACGCTTCACTGTTGGAGGTAAATAAAAAATCACTTCTCCAAAATTCATTTTTATTTCTAGTCTGACGCGACACGGGCGCGTTTCGTAAAACTTATTACATTTTCAAAGACTTCACAAATACACACACTGATTAGAACTTACGTCTCTCTGATATTATATCTACATTTGAGTGAGGTGCATTTGGGTGATGTGGCATTAACACAAGACAGAACAGGAGGGGATATTAATAGGGTATTAAAAGTATCAACACAAGACAGAACAGAAACAATGGGTATTGAATAGAAGTGTTTGTAGAAAGCCTATTGGTCCATATTTCTTGATGCTTCTATATTGGAGCGGAGTCTTGAGGTGGGTAGAATATAGTTGTGCATTAATTGGCTGTTGATTGCTGGTGATGACTTCTTGATGTGTAGTCCCTCGCAGATATCAAGCCGCCTGCTATCGCTATCTCTATCGATGATTTCTGTGTTTTTTGTTAAGACTTCTTTCGTGATGGTCTGGTTGTGGGAAGAGATTATATGTTCCTTAATGGAGCCCTGTTGCTTATGCATCGTTAATCGCCTGGAAAGAGATGTTGTTGGCTTGCCTATATACTGAGTTCTTTGAGGCTTACAATCCCCAAGTAGGCATTTGAAGGCATAGACGACATAGGTCTCTTTTAAAGCGTTCTGCATTGTGTCTGGAGAGTTTCTCATGAGAAGGTTGGCCGTTATTTTGGTTTCATAGTAAATCGTCAATTGTATCCTCTGATTTTTATCTGTAGGGATAACGTTCCTATTAACAATATCATTCAGGACCCTTTCCTCCGTTTTATGAGCTGTGGAAAAGAAGTTCCTGTAAAATAGTCTAATAGGGGGTTCAGGTGTTGTGTTAGTTGTCTCTTCAGAGGTTGCATGGCGTTTCACCTTCCTTCTTATGATGTCTTCAACGAAACCATTGGAGAAGCCGGTGTTGACTAGGACCTGCCTTACCCTACAGAGTTCTTCGTCGACTTGCTACCATCCTGAGCTGTGGCTGAGAGCACAGTCGACATAAGCGTTAACAACACTCCTCATGTATCTGTCTGGGCAGTCACTGTTGGCATTGAGGCCCATTCCTATGTTTGTTTCCTTAGTGAAGACTGCAGTGTGGAAGCTTCTGCTCCTTTCCATGACTGTTACATCTAGAATGGGCAGCTTCCCATCCTTCTCCATCTCGTAAGTGAAACGCAACACAGAATTCCGCTCAAATGCCTCCTTCAGCTCCTGCAAATGTCTAACATCAGGTACCTGTGTAAAAATGTTGTCAACATACCTGCAGTATATGGCCGGTTTCAAGTTCATGTCGACTAAGACCTTTTGTTCGATGGTATCCATGTAGTAGTTCGCAAACAGGACACCTAGGGGAGAACCCATGGCGACCCCGTCTACTTGCTTATACATGTGCCCATCCGGGCTCAAGAAGGGTGCCTTTTTATTACAAGCTTGGAGTAGTTTCCTTAGAATGTTTTCTGGTATGTCAAGAGGAGTACAGGCCGGATCACGATACACTCTGTCCGCTATCATCCCGATTGTTTCATCCACAGGTACGTTGGTAAACAGTGATTCTACGTCCAACGAGGCTCTTATCCCTGTGGCCCGTGTGCCCCGCAGTAAGTCAACAAATTCCTTTGGGGACTTCAGGCTGAAGGCGCAAGGGACATAAGGAGTCAGTAAGCCGTTGAGTCGCTTCGCCAGTCTGTACGTGGGTATGGGTATCTGGAGTAATGCCATACAACCTCTGAAGAGACAACTAACACAGCACCTGTACCCCCTATTAGACTATTTTACAGGAACTTCTTTCCACAGCTCATAAAACGGAGGAAAGGATCCTGAAAGATGTTGTTAATAGGAACGTTATCCCTTCAGACAAAAATCAGAATATACATTTGACGATTTACTATAAAACCAAAAAAACGGCCAACCTACTCATGAGAAACTCTCCAGACTAAAGCAGAACGCTTTAAAAGAGACCAATGTCGTCTATGCCTTCAAATGCCCACTTGGGGACTGTAAGCCTCAAAGAACTCAGTATATAGGCAAGACAACAACATCTCTTTCCAGGCGATTAACGATGCATAAGCAACAGGGATGCCATTAAGGAACACATAATCTCTTCCCACAACCAAACCATCACCAGAGAAATCTTAACAAAAAACACAGAAATCGTCGATAGATACAGCGATAGCAGGCAGCTTGATATCTGCGAGGGACTACACATCAAGTAGTCAACACCAGCAATCAACAGCCAATTAATGCACAACTATATTCTACCCACTTCAAGACTCCACACCAATATTGAAGCATCAAGAAATATGTGCCAATAGGTCCTTTGCAGTTACTTACATTCTTCCCTTTAAACTTACCCAATATTATACCCATTGTTTCGTGTTCTGTCTTGTGTTTTCACCTCATCCAAAACTGTTGTAACATATCACCTCACCCAAATTCAGGTATATAAAATGAAAGCCATTTAAATTATAGCATAGTAGGACTCTGTTTAGTGTATGCAGGTAATCGTTGTGTGTGTGTGTAAACTAAAGTCTTTGAAAATGTAATAAGTTATTACAAAACGCGTTCAAGTGTCACGTCAGACAAGAAATAAAAATGAATTTTGGAGAATTGATTTTTCAATTACCATCGACAGTGAAAAGAAACATAAGAAATATTGAGAAAAATCGTGTTAGAATTATTAATCTTACTTTTTCGGTCATATTTAATAATATATGTTTACAAGAAAGACTGCTACCAATATATATATATATATATATATATATATATATATATATATATATATATATATATATATATATATATATATATATATATATATATATATATATGTCGTACCTAGTAGCCAGAACGCATTTCTCAGCCTACTATGCAAGGCCCAATTTGCCTAATAAGCCAAGTTTTCCTGAATTAATATATTTTCTCAAATTTTTTTCTTATAAAATGATAAAGCTACCCATTTCAATATGTATGAGGTCAATTTTTTTTTATTGGAGTTAAAATTACCGTAGATATATGACCGAACCTAACCAACCCTACCTAACCTAACCTAACCTATCTTCATAGGTTAGGTTAGGTTAGGTAGCCGAAAAAGTTAGGTTAGGTTAGGTTAGGTAGTCGAAATAACATTAATTCATGAAAACTTGGCTTATTAGGCAAATCGGGCCCTGCATAGTAGGCTGAGAAGTGCGTTCTGGCTACTAGGTACGACATATATATATATATATATATATATATATATATATATATATATATATGTCGTACCTAATAGCCAGAACGCACTTCTCAGCCTACTATTCAAGGCCCGATTTGCCTAATAAGCCAAGTTTTCATGAATTAATGTTTTTTCGTCTACCTAACCTACCTAACCTAACCTAACCTAGCTTCTTTTGGCTACCTATCCTAACCTTACCTATAAATATAGGTTAGGTTAGGTTAGGTAGGGTTGGTTAGGTTCGGTCATATATCTACGTTAATTTTACCTCCAATAAAAAAAATTGACCTCATACATAGAGAAAAGGGTTGCTTTATCATTTCATAAGAAAAAAATTATAGTAAATATATTAATTCAGGAAAACTTGGCTTATTAGGCAAATCGGGCCTTGAATAGTAGGCTGAGAAGTGAGTTCTGGCTACTAGGTACGACATATATATATATATATATATATATATATATATATATATATATATATATATATATATATATATATATATATATATATATATATATATATATATATATATATATATATGTCGTACCTAATAGCCAGAACGCACTTCTCAGCCTACTATTCAAGGCCCGATTTGCCTAATAAGCCAAGTTTTCATGAATTAATGTTTTTTCGTCTACCTAACCTACCTAACCTAACCTAACCTAGCTTTTTTGGCTACCTAACCTAACCTTACTTATAAATATAGGTTAGGTTAGGTTAGGTAGGGTTGGTTAGGTTCGGTCATATATCTACGTTAATTTTAACTCCAATAAAAAAAAAATTGACCTCATACATAGAGAAAAGGGTTGCTTTATCATTTCATAATACAAAAATTATAGTAAATATATTAATTCAGGAAAACTTGGCTTATTAGGCAAATCGGGCCATGAATAGTAGGCTGAGAAGTGAGTTCTGGCTACTAGGTACGACATATATATATATATATATATATATATATATATATATATTTAAAAAATTAAATATCATAAATGATATTCAAATTATGGTCTACATAAAATCAGGAATGCCTGAATGACTCTAAGGTAATTAAGTTCACTCACAATGGTACAAATGTCGAATGGTACAGTGGCACAACGGTATAATGGAACAATTGTACGACAGAATTTGTAATACCATTTAATGCCTGAAGAGTAGAGTCAAAAACTTACCTTGGCTGTAAGTGACTTGAGGTCATCGTAGCCACACCACTGGCGGTCAAGGTAGGCGTAGGGTGCCACCAGGTGCTTCTCTCTCACTACGTTCCACTCCACCCTCTCCTCACTCTCACACATCTGTGGGGCAGGTGTCTCAACTGAGAAAGTGGGGCATGTTGGAAATCCAACACTAACATTACTAAACGCCATAAGTAGTTGTTAATTTACATTAGTTAGTCATAAGAGGATTATTGAGAATGGGAGATCTGTGATGTCATCAGACAACCCGTTCTCGGAAATTTAATAAGTCAATATTGACTTATTAAATATGTGCATAGGTGACATATTTAACATAATAGATACCCTTAAAAAGATTCATAGAAAACACCGACCTTACCTAACCTACTTAGTATGTTAAGATAAGCATCTTATTGCTTCGTAATTACAATTATTACCTAACCTATAATAGGTATAGGTTAAGTAATAATTGTAATTACGAAGCAATAAGATGCTTATCTTAAGATACTAACAAGGTTAGGTAAGGTCGGTGTTTTCTATGAATCTTTTTAAGGGTATCTATTATCTTTAGTATATCACCTATGCACGTAGTTAATAAGTCAATATTGACTTTACGAATTTGCGAGAACGGGTTGCATCAGACCATTCATTTACTCAACAAGTATCCTTAAACTGACAATCAAGTCATTAAACTTCATAGAAAAGTGTTCTCTATGATTTAACTTAAACAAATCTACACTAAAATTACAGGCTCTTTTCTTTTGTCAATAAAAGAGAGAAATAGAACCATTTTCTCAGGACACTGGGAGAGGACGGCAGGCTGGCTCAGAGGGAAAGTAAATAAAGAGGGCTCCTCGAGAGGTCCGCTACACATGACACTACAAAGATTTCATATTTCAATCACCCAACAGAGATTCTGCCACAGCGACCTCACCAATTTCAGGGAGTATCTTAATTTCCGGTCTGAACAAATTATCTCTTATTAGAAGGCCTTATAACATTAGACAACTTCCACTCGGTTATAAAGTAGGCGAACACCAAAACAATGGTGAGAATGGTTTTATCAAATACACAATCCTAATTCATGCATGTCACATTTATTGACTATAATATTATTATACAATTATTACAGTGCAAATATTCGCCAAGTAACCTTTGACACACTGAAGAATTCACAGAGAGCTGTTAGCACCTACAAGAACCTGTACAGACACCATACTTGTTCTAACAAAGACAACAGGGCCACCAGTAATATAAGTCCGGGACGGACCTGTATTACTGGTGGCGGGATCCAGTAAGTTCTACTGAACTTAATTGATCCCGCAGCCTCTCCGAGGCACAAACCAGAGTTTTACACAACTCTCCCCTGCACTCGAGCTATGTCAATAGGCCGTTCTCCCTCTTCGCCCTTACATTTTTTACCTCTTTTTAACCATGTCGTAGCTCAGTCGATTAAGGCAGTGTCTGGGATGCTCCTGGACGCAGGTTCGAATCCTCGTCACGGCCCTTGTGGATTTGTTCATTTGATGCATCACGTTAGTGTGATTTCTGTGTGTAATGATGTAAGGGCGAAGAAGGAGAACGGCCTATTGACATAGCTCAAGTGCAGGGGGGAGTTGTGTAAAACTCTGGTTTGTGCCTCGGAGAGGCTGCGGGATCTAGTAAGTTCAGTAGAACTTCGGTTTCAACTCTTTTTAACCCTGTCGTAGCTCAGTCGATTAAGGCAGTATCTGGGATGCTCTCGGACGCAGGTTCGAATCCTCGTCACGGCCCTTGTGGATTTGTTCATTATACATTCTTTAATAAGGATTATCGATTAGTAATACGTTTACTTTTAGTTAATAAAATATATAGGTGTTTACTGAAAATATTTATACAGTCACGATTAGCTATTCTGGTAAATAAAGTGATAAACTTAATTTCCACACTCAATCTTCTCGCTCATTTAACGTCATCTAAATTAAATGATTTGCACCACGAGAAATAATTTGCTGTCTTATAAAACCCTTTATTATGATGTAAATTAAAGTCTGAAACATCTCCACCTCTTCGGAACGATGAGTAAAATATTACGACAATTTCCAGAGTTCCATCATTCGGTGCAAGTGCGCATGTGCCAGGAGTCGAGGAGGGAGCCCTGGGGAGAAAGCCGCCATCATTTATATGGGATTGAGGTGTTCTGGAGTTGCCTACTTGTCATCGATCATATTTGGTAGCATCCATCTATCTTCGAGCTTCAGATCGATCATGTAGCTTCCACAGTTTACGAACACCGCGTTCGGTAGGACTAAGTACCACAGTAGTAATTAATTTGGTCATTTTTTATTCGATCTTGTTGGTGTCTTATCATTAAGTATCGCAACGTCCCCATAACCCACGTGAGTGCTTTTCTTACACCCCGAACCCATTTAGATTCTGCGCTTAAATGTATGAGTAGACGGTTTGGAGTAAAAATTATATAAGATTTGACTTTCAGCGTGGAGTTAACTGCGAGACGTGTTTCTACTTGCATGTTCACGTGTCATTAGGGACTGCTGACTCGGACAGGGGTTAAAGCTGCTGGACGATATCCTCGTTCATCTCTGGCAGCTAAGCAGTTTCTGTTTCCACTTAGTAGTTAGCTAATTGACCTGTGTCTTACTGAATTTAATATTTTTGAATGCTTTATTTCAGTATTAGAAGTCTGTTAACTTTAAATTATTTATCCCCAAGTTGTTGGGTGTACAGAGTTAGTTCTGAATTAGCATTAATATTACAGCTCATTTCTCTAAATCTATTTAATTTCATTTATGCATTTAATATAGGAGATCCATAAGCCACTGGTTCTCTGATTCTTTAATATTAATTTTGGTCCTTCGAAACATTTAAGATTATTATATGGTAGAACTAATTCCTCCCCCACAAAGATTGGGCCGGTGGGAGAACTGAGAAGGTGTCGAAAATCCGACACACAAAATAATACATGTGTATGACATGAAGTAATTCCCGTCACACAAAATTTGCTTTCTCGTCACCACATAGTAAGCAAACTAATTGTGTTACACATACACAAATACAACACTCTGCATGGTGGGGTATTAGATACTCTCACAGACTTAAGACAACAGTACTGGCTACCCCAAGATAGGCAGACCGTATAATTCTTAATTAAATCCTGTGTTATGTGCTGGAGATATGATGCCAGAGTGTGTCCATATCCAGAACCTCCTCCACTTCCAAAGGAACGAGTTGTACATATTCGTCCCTTTGAGATTAGAGAAGTAGATTTTACTGGAGCATTTAATACTAACAGGCACCAAGGACAAAAAACCAGTAAAGACCTATATCTGCCTTTTCACTTGTGCCACAACAAGGGCAGTCCATCTAGAAGTGACTCCCGATATGAGTCCTGAGGCATTCTTACAGGCTTTCCGCAGATTTTCTTCACGTATATCCTGTCCTAAGTTAATGATCTCTGACAATGGGTCCCACTTAGTGGCAGGAGAAGCATGTCTGAGGAAAATCTGGACACACCCAAAGATGCGCCCGGCCCTAAATCAATGGCAATGCCACTGGAAATTCATACCACCTAGAGCCCCATGGCACGGATGCTTCTATGAACGCATGATTGGTACGGTGAAACATTCTCTACGGAAAACTCTACACCACCAAAAGATTGACCTACAGGAGCTCCAAACCGCTGCCATAGAGATAGAAGCACGAGTTAACAACCGACCACTTACCTACTTCTCTGATGAAGTTTCACAACGTGGAACATTAAGTCCATTTCATTTGATGTATGGGAGACCTGTCAGAACCCTAGTGTCTCTTATGGACGAGGAACCAGAGGATCCTTCATATGTCAGAGAGAGTGATTTGGTTCAACGTTTCAAACATCTGCCAGGGGTGATAAGTCGGTGGAATGACGTATGGACTCGAGAATACCTTACTGCTCTGAGGGAGTATCATTACAGGGCAAACAACCCCTACAACAGAATTAACTTGAACCCTGGTAATATAGTTCTGGTAGACAGCGATGGGTCACACTCAGAGTGGCCTATTGGCCAAATCATCTCTGTTCATCCAGACAGTCAGGGAATCTTGAGAATGGTGAAATTAAAATGCAGAGGCAACACTACTCTCAAAATATTAGAGAAATTAGTTCCTTTAGAACTGGCAGGAAAAGAAGACGTTCAATGACTTCCAGCACCCAAAGAGCCAGTAAGGAACAACCGTCCCGAGTGGACTGCTGCACAACAATGCAAGCTCATATTAAAGCAACATTATAATTCCTAAGGAGAGGAATAAAGTGTTCGCATTCCTTACCGGGACTCAGACCTCAGACCATGTTCTTCCCCCCCCCCCCCCCGGAATTATGTCGGAAATCCGATACACATAATAATACAGTTACCACATAAAAAAATCAGAGAACGGGTATTCCGCGACGTCAACAAACAGACGTAATATATTAAACTCTTATTTCTTTTAAACCTCAGTCTAGTATTTAAACTTAATAAAAAGTGTTCGCTAGGACTGAATATAATTTCCAACACCAGGAATATACCTTAACTTCCTATTCCTTAATCATACATAGAACCACCAAATATTTTAGGACGGCTCCCTTAGGGGCGTCATCACGTACGCCGCTCAGAATCATAACAAAACAACACGAAACGAGTGCTCCTAAGAGAAGTGTGACAGGAGTTTCACACGACAGACATCTTACTCTGTCCTAAGGGAACTACAACAGCAACACCTCTACCACATCTCATATCAAGAGGATAACATCAGCAGCATATGCCTGGTTGGCTAACATAAGAACGGCCTTTAGAAACTTGTGTAAGGAATCTTTCAGAACATTATATACCAGATATGTCAGACCAATTCTGGAGTATGCGGCTCCAGCATGGAGTCCATATCTAGTCAAGCATAAGACTAAAATGGAAAAAGTTCAAAGGTTTGCCACCAGACTAGTTCCCGAGCTGAGAGGTATGAGCTACGAGGAGAGACTACGGGAATTAAACCTCACTTCGTTGGAAGACAGAAGAGTTAGGGGGGACATGATCACCACATTCAAGATCCTCAAGGGAATAGACAGGGTTGATAAAGACAGGCTGTTTAACACAAGGGGCACACGCACT